CCCGTTCATCCGTTTCTATTTGCATGTTTTCTAAACTAAAACCAGGCTTTGTTGGGCTGCTGGATAAAACCTGGAACTAAACAATATTTCTGACATTTTGAATTGAAAAATCTTCCTGGATGGAAGAGAAACGTCTTCAAACTTGGAAACAAAGTCCAGAGGATTGATTTTTAGCTTTTTTTGGAATAAGTTAGAAAATGCTCTAACTGGATATTATGAGGTTAACCGAACGGTTTAGAGGGAGAACGTACCATGGCCACCATCTCTGCAGCGTTTCCTCTGGGGCATCGGATGATCGGCACAGCACCTGAAGCACAGAATCACACGCAGACCATGAAGCTATCAGAGCTTTATCCAAACAGGAAGTGCTTAGTTAAAAGTGAACAACATCTAAACCACCTGAAGCTTCCATGTGAGACTTTATTCATAAAAAGGAACAATTAGAGGAACATCTGGAAACTGTTTTCATGCTCAGACTTGGATTAAAAACAGGAAGCTGACTCTAAAACGGCAGCTTGCTTCTGTTCTACATAGCTGTGTTAATCTGGTGAATTAACGATAGAATGATTTCATTCCGTTTCATTGGCGTCTATAACGATGACAGTGATGATCTGGAGCCTGCAGGACACCGTAGGGCTCAGAGAGTTTTCTCTGATCTCTATTCTGCTGACGGGCACTGAGGAAAAGGTGTTGGAAAACGTTCCCCGGAGGCACGATCTGTCCCGGAGGCACGATCTGTCCCGGAGGCACGATCCGTCCTGCGCCATGAATCATTTCCATAAATTACTTATTTTTATCCTTAACTCACTAAAGAATGCTAATACACATCTATTAAAAATGTTTTATGACTTTTCTGAGACAATTTTTGTGCTTTTTCCATTTTCTCCATTAAACAGCTTCTCTGACGTCATCATGGGACACGATCAGAGCGGTAAATCTGATTAAACCATGTTTATCTGCATTCTAGTTGTTTCTCTCTTTAGATTACGAACTATATACCATGATGTTAACACGAAAGGAAAACATAAAACTCTAAAGGACTAGATTTATGTTTAAATCCAAAGCTGATAAAGTTAGCTCCCGGAAGTAGCGTAGCATCCGGTGCAGATCTGGCACAGATTGACAAAATAGGACTTAGAGGCATTTATTTTCTCAGGAAATACATTATTAACCTTTAACACATTATATTTTAGTATGCTTATTATTTTTGGGGAGGGTAAAAACATAATTTAGGTCTTTTTAACAAAATAAAATGGAGGGCAAGCTGGATGTTTATCTGGATGCTCAAATGAGCTGATGGCGCATGCGCAGGACGGACCGTGCTTCCCAGATGGATCGTGCTTCCAGGACGGACCGTGCTTCCCAGATGGATCGTGCTTCCAGGACG